CCATATTTAACAATTCAATCGAACAGTGACTAGTGCTCCAGTTAAAATACCTAGTTACTGGACTTTCAGTAATCTTTTGCATTGGGGAAATTTTCAAAGTTTGTAAAGCCTCTAATCCATGCGATGGCCAGGACAGGTGGTACTTCATGTGTGAGAGTAGAGCAAGAGAAACAATGATAGCAATATTCTTAAAACTGGATGCAGAAAGCCCAAGGTTTTMCAGGAAAAGCTTAACAAAATCAAAAAATCAAAACAGAACAATAAACTRCTTTGTTAATAGAAAGCCAATATTTTTTCAGCAAACTGAAAAACATGGTATATTAACTCAAAAGGCAAGGATTAGATAGAGAAAACCCTGGTTAAGACCGTGTTGGTAAGTCTTGATGATCTTCAACGTTTTCTTTTTTAAAAAGCCAATCCAAAAATAAAATGGAACTAAATTGTCTCCCCTTGAAACTTTGATTGAAAATTGATTTAAAAAAAAAAAAAAGGTTATTTTAATCATCCTTAAAATTCTCAGCTGGAAGTATATTGATGGATATTTTACTATCTCACTGTGACGTAGGTTGGTCTGGGCTTCTCTTGATACTGTCTCACCCCTCTATTTCTTGACACCTTCTTCAAGAATGCATTATAATTCTTCTTGTTGTGCTCACTGTGTCATAGGATCCCCACTAACACAGATGTGAAGAGAAAGCTTTAAATGTTTGTTCTGACTGGGAGCCAGAGAGATGCTTCAGTTTGGATCCCACCACTGCCTCACAGAATTCTTAATTGCCACAGAATTCTTAATATGCTTTGAATTTTAAGAGAACTAAAGGGAAGGTTGTGGGATCCCCAGAGAGTCACGGAGCACATGACTRTTCTTGGAAGAACCTGAAATTCAAATATTTGCTTCATTCCTTATGTGATGACAGYTTTTCAAATAATAGATTTAAAATGAAGATTTGCCTAGCCCTATGGAAACATTTGTTTCCTTGTGAGGGAAAAAGTCAGTTTTGTTAAATCATATGAAACTTCAGCTGGACTATTTTATCTTTTTGCTGTTTGGTTGCTAGAATATATAGACTATGGAAGAATTAAGCATGTAAATTTGATGAATCATTTGAGTGTATTTAGGCAATTTAACCTTTATTTTTTCTTGTTAASCAGTGTAAAATGGTCGTAGGTCTTAACTGAGGTCTCAAAGTCAGGATACCCCCTAATCACTTGTCCTATTCTTGTTTCCAAATAATTAATGTCAGTCAAGCCTGCAGCATTTAAGGCTAGGTCTCCTCCCCACTTTTTTTCCTCTCAGTATTGCTGAGCAATAGATTATATGCACATTTTTATATATTCTGAAGAAAATTGTTTAATGTATATGTGGAATAGCAGGAAGTTCTACAAGTTGTACACCCTGTGTGTTGCAGGAGAGCTGCGTGTTGTGGTATTTGGTCATTTATTCCTCAAGGTATTTGATCTAAAATTACATGATACCTTTTTCCTGTATGGGTAAAAGTACAAGAATCTCCTGTTGTGCTTCATTAGTTTCTTCCCTTGTATTCCTCCTTCCCTCGTGTGGAAGGAGCAAAAGAAACTCTTCCTTCTGCATAAGGAGTCCAAATCATCTTTCCATTGTCTATTTTTTAAGACTTCTAGGCTCTGGACATGTCTGTGGATATACTGTTATATACTAATATATTTACTCTTTTGGGGGATAAAAATACTTTGTTTTATTCCCCTCTTCTAACCTCTTTGAGATTCAGTTTTGTAAGATATGTATGAGTAATGTCTTGGAAAGCTGGAGCTGCAGATTTCTTGTCCGTCTTTTTTTCTAGACAGAGGCACAATCATTTTGCATCCATGCAGACAAAATTTCATAATCTTTTTTCATGAAAGGTTGTGTTTGATGCTCTGCCTTTCGGCAACTTGATTTTTTTTTCAGGCACCTATTAGTACAGCACTTGCATTCCTGAGAACTACTACATCCTAAAAAATTTTATGTGCTGCCACATGAAATAAAGCTGTAGATTCTGTTTGGCCAGGGCTGCAGGTTCACAATCCCTGCTCTAAATTTATCAGTATAAAATGTTCAGCTGAAAGCATTTACTTATTTTATAAAGCAAATTACCATTTTATAAAGAACATTACCATGTTAGGCTGTAGGGTAGTTTTGTCTGCTTCTAGCCTAAGGGCTTGTTACAGGAAGAGTAACGCAAAGAGCTGCAAGCCAGGTCTCTATAATGATTAACCTTCACGATTTAGAAAATTATGTTGAAAGCTTGACTCTGTTGTTGAATGCCAAAGTGGGTTATCTAAGTAATCATTGACAGTGAGTTGACATAACATTAGGGAACACGTTCTGCATCCTCAGATAGCAAAAAGTCTTGTTTTATCAGATATCTTATCTGAAGCAGCGTTTCAAAAGCAAAATATGCCATGTATGTGTCAAGCCTGTTTCATCCTCAAGCCATCTTCAGAGAAAGTAAACCTTTATGAGCTTTTACTGCTGTTCTGCCCAGTAATTACATGCCATATACATACCAACATAAGGTAGAAACGAGTCGTAAACTGAAACAAGGCTTAGGGAGCTGCACTTCCATTTTTTAAATCTTTAAATGACTGGAATATCACTCGAGAGGTAACAGAGGCATGAAACAACCGTTTTTAAAGTTATAGTAAAAAAATAAATCGTGGAGTGATAGAGAAAAAGAAACAGGGTTTTGCTGTGCAAACTAGTTACAGCAGGGTTAACCAACGATCCCTTACCTGCAAAAATAGGAAGGACTACTTGAACCTGTGATGCATGCCAACTTCTCTCTTTTTTTAATTTAGTTCTGTCAAAGTTCTGTACTTCTGAAGCCGTTAAGGCTGGACGAATTTAGCTATTGTATCTATCTCTTTTTCTGAATGAAAAAGGGAGCGATTCTAATTTTCATTATCAAATTCCTTGCACTCCATTTAAGTGCCCAGAACATGAAATACCTCAACTTTAATTCCAGAATGCATAGCTGAGAGATTATGATAGTGGAAAGCAGTTGCTCCTAATTATTAAGTATTTCTTTTTGTAGTTTAATATCTGCTGTGAGTACAATGATTCTGGATTTTGAAAACACTTTAGGTAATAACTTTTTTTTTTCCCCAAAAAAAAACTTTATCAGAGTTGGGAAGAATACTGAATCAGACTTCGTACAAAACCAAGCCATCTATTAAAAGAGAGGCCTGACCTTTTCTAGTCTGCTTTCACAGTTCTGTTTGTTTCCCTGCTTGAGCTGTGAAGTTTTAGCATGTTGAATACTGCAGTGCTACTCCAGTGGGGAGCTGGTGATCTCTAGTTTTGGGGGATTTGAGAAAGAAAACAGTGAGTTAGTAAGTGTTACATACAGAGCTCTTTTTGCAACAATCCTAGCTGAAAATTTTAGTATGCTTTGTTTGCTTTGTTTAAAAATTCTTAAAGGTTTATTCCAAGTGAGATATATTCCCAAAACTGTAAGAAAATGTGCCAAATCTCAATATTAAATTGATATTTAAGTCTATGTAAGTATGGATGATTACCTAGAAGTTTTTTCATTTGCACTTATTGTGACTGAATTAGGCAAATGGTAAATTATACCCATGTTCCTTACTCACTGTTGTATAGTTGAAGTTTTAATGAAACACAGAAGGGCTAGTAAGTGTACTAAATATAATGTGCTTATCTATTTTCACAATACATTTATTCAGTCATATTGCTGTTGTTCCTCTTGGCCTGATATAAAGAAGTGATGGGATTACCCTTTCCAGCCGAGTAAAAKGTTTTGGCCGCGTTCTTAATTGCCTTTTAAAGGACATGCAGAAAAATTGGACTGTGGCAACGCTGTTGGACTGTGTCTTGCCACACGAGGCATCTCCTCACTGTTTTTGAACACAAGGTAATCCCAGTCATGGGCTCATAGGCTGCGAGTTAGGGATTGAAGCCAGTCTACCCATGAAGGAGAGCGACGTTCCAATTGCTACACGGAGTCAGCTGCACTATAAGTAGGAGGTTTTGTGACATGAGGCATCTTCACAGCAGCTTTTTCCTTCTGACTTACGATCTAAAAACTGGGCCAGCACTTCATTGAAAATATTTCACTATATGTATCTCTCTGTTAACTTAGAAATGATGTGTAAAGTAAATATATTAATGATTTATAAGTTTCCTAGTTAAGATCTAAATCTAGAGAAAAAAAATCTTTGGCTTAGCTGCATTTGGTGCAAGGAATAAGCCTATCTAAACAGAGGTAAAGATACCCTAAGGCCAATGGAATAATGCACTTGGCTGATGGTGTTTTCATTTTTTTCCATGATCAAATGTGAATCTATGTAAAYCTGGTTTGCTACTGTGATAAAGACATGAAGACCCATTCATGGTCATCAGAAGCTACAGAGGGATATCCTCTAACAATGCAGACTTGTGAATGTCACAAGTGGGATGTACTTTGGGGAATTCGTATTACAAAAGCAGTCTGTGTGCTGCGATAGCTGTAAACTCTCCTCCTTTTTACATTTTATGCTCATARGTACAAATACTGATTATTTAAAGCCAAAGCTAAAGATACTGTTATGCTATTGAGTTTTTTATGCGACTATTTTGAAGTTCATATTTAGTACATTGTTTGAAGTACTGTATCGTGGGATAGTTGGACCAAGGGCTTTCTAGAAGTCRTGACTCTTCAGTGTCATTCCTGACATGTTAGAAACTTGAAGTACACCATGAAATCCTCTGTAATAAATAGATGTTTTAAATACCTACATATTGGCGTAGTTTCAGGTTGTTAAATGATTGCGTAAAGAAACTCATAATGGTTTGAAGCAATGGCTTTGCATCTGTCATGGCTAGCAAATACAATACGGCTGGCTGCTCAGGAAACAACCAAAGCTTTCTTATGTTGCTGCTTTTTTTATTATTATTATTATTTTAAGCTAATATATGATCGTGACATTGCTGTTGCAGATCTCTGCTGCTTATATTTTAAGTTGAAATCTCATTTTTGTTTCAGATTCTCCTTCTTCTGTGGTTAACAAACAGCTTGGATCCATGTCACTTGATGAGCAACAGGGTGCGTGTGACAGGAAATACGCTATACCCAGCCATAGCTGATTGCAATGSTTTCTTTTAAAAATGCTTTTCATAATGATAAACAGACTAAAATGCTGTTCATCTACATAAAGCAGAATTCCATAAGCAGATCTGCTGGAAACTCATTAATTATTTAATTCTCAGTAACAGAGTAAGGTTAATTATTAATCATTTTCTAAACCATCCTCTGCTCAAATCCTATTGCTTTTGTGTATGTACAGTATTCTGTGCTGATGTACTCTACAGACACTTAGCTGTTTTTTGTTTGTTTGTTTGTTTTTTCTTTTTTTTTTTTTCCCCTGGGATTAAAGAGCAAGTATAATCATCAGAGTTGCTTGTAATTGTATAAAGCCAAAGGGGACAGTGGGGAGATAAGGTGTGCAGATTTGTACTACTTGCACAGTCCGAAGAACTCAAGTGTGCCACTATACACCTAGGTGCACTAGCTTTGGTCATCATCAATCTTTCTATACCTCTCTGCTAAACCAGTTCTGGTGTTTCACTTTACCTGCCATCTGGGCTGGTGGTAGAAGAAAATCTAGTGAGCAGCAGACTATTCATTATTCATCAGTCTTCAAACTGTAAGCAGTGAGATGGACTGCACGTGGCCTTACTAAAGCTGAATGAGTCTTTGCTGAATATTTATGCCTGAATAATTAATGAATAATAGAGGGTAATTTTAAAATAGTTTTCCGTACACTCTGCATTTTGCTGACTTTCATATTAAAGTCTCAGTAGATCTGAAATAGAGCTGGTTGTTTTATCATGTTTCAGATTCCAAACTGGAAAGCTGCTTTGAAATCTCATTTCTCAAAAACATTGTTTGGCAACTGATGAGACATGACTTGTTTTAGGATGCCAGAACACTGGAAAAAAGATCAAGCTGTGTATTATATTGACAAAATATATATATTTTTAATGGAATTACATCTTATGGTGAAAGTAGCATTAAAAATCAATGTGCAGATTGGCCAGTTACTCATAGTTCAGTTGCCTGCTCATGAATTTGTGGCCAAGCTGTGCTGACTTTATGAACTCCTTGGAATAAAGCATTATTTGCTGTGAGTAGAATAAACTAGAATTAACATGCACAGTCCATATACTTACTGGAGTTCTTATAACTGAAAAAAAAGTCTAGATAATTGATGGTTTGTTTGCTGTACTTGCCAATTAAACACAGAGAGTTCTCATGGAGAACTAATGTTTTTATATACGTTTATATACACTTTATATACATTGTATATAAATGTATATATACATTATATAAATTTTATATACATTGATGCAGAGGTTCAGTAATCCCTTAAGTAATGTCCATGTCAGGTGTTTCAGTGCCATGTTACAGGTACCATCTTGTTCTGAGCTAACTGATATAGGTCAGTTATGGAGGTGTCTACAGTACTAGTACTGGCAACTRTTTTGGCATATGCTGTGTCCCAGCTAATTAGCTTCCCCTCCCCAAAAGACTTGGGCATCTAGTGCTTTCCAGATCTCAGCAGATAAAGGTGATGAGCTCAGCAKATAAAAGCTTAGGAATTTCAGAACTGTTCCCTGTGCTATAGCACAGTGTGTTCTCTGGCACTTCCTTCTGTAAAGTGCAGTACARCATTTAACTGATAGGAGAATCATCTGGACAAAAATATAATATGCCTTGGACTGTGGATTAGGGAGATCTGAAGAATTACTTGATTTTCAGTCTGCCCACGGTGGGCCTCAGTGTCTTTTTACTGACTGGTATCAATGTAACACTGTTTACTTCATCAGAATTTATCATTATATAAAGGAATCTCCACCATTACCTCCAAGGTCAGCTACTTCTGCTGAATTTTCATGCATTGAAAATTCCTGTTTTCTGAGATACACTATATTTTTCTCCCCTTTTTACTTATTTTTCTCCACTGCAGAATATASAAAGCTGTTTGTTTTGTTTTTGTCTGTTTTTTATGAGGAGGTATACTTAGTACTGAATGAAAAATACTTCGGAAGTTTTTTCTTGGAAAGTCAGCCATTCTCTTCACGTGATTGTCAACTGACCAGTGAAAAGAGCAGTATTGATGATAAGGGAAACTAACTTTGAATTCCTTGCAGTGCTAGTAAATAGTAACTAAATAATGAAATCTATAAAGGTGTCTTTGTGCTCTTAAGTCTTCATAGTTTAAAAAAAAAAAAAAAAAAAAAAGGCCCAACCTTTGTGAAGTTACATTGGCACAGGTTCATTTTCTAAAGGAAGAAAGGGAAGACTTTTTGTTTGTTTCTGCAGTTTCTCACTTTAAGATATCTGAAATGATATAAATGAAGCCCTAGGTATGATATAAAAGCCATATGTATGATATAAATGAACTACATATGATACTTGGTTTTCAGCTATATGGGAGGAATTTGACAGGTATCTTTCTGTAAGCACTGCCAGAGTGGACTCCGTCATGGGAATGTATTTTCTAGCACAAGATTGCGTATAAACAGTGTAGTAATTGGTAGTATCTTTGAGTAATGTGTATTGCTGTAAAATCTAGGTAAAGATACTTTTGAGGAATTTGGAATAGATTTTAGTAGGATGTTGATTTCCTGCTTTCTCTGAGCTTATTAGGGCTGTGCTCTCTTGCTTATTAGAGCTCATACCTAAGTAGATTAATCATTTTGGCCATAGTTCTACGCTTAGTCACAGAACACGTACATCTTCTCCTGTTCTGCCCTCCAGTATTCTGTCAATGTGAATTAGATCTGATTGATCTGACCCACTCCCTCCCTAGGAGGGAAAAAACAAGCAAAGAGAGAGATCAGTGCTCTCCTCTGAGCCATTCAGCCTCTGACAATCACACTGTCTTTCCTGAGAACAAGAGTTTGTGAATCCTGGACTGTACATGAGTGTTCTATAAGAGTTATGTACTAAGCAGAGCTTATCATCTCTTCTCAGAAGCACCTATGTAGTTTTCATTAGCACTGTAAGTTTAATGTTAATTAGTGAATAACACAAATAATTCTCTGCACTTAATTACCAAAACCTTATCTCATCTGCCTTTTGGAGTTTCCTGTTAGTGTCATTTTCATATCCGAAAGCTAGATTGAAGAACAAACACACCCCATCCAAACTGTAGTCCATATTATTATAGTTTTAAGAAAAAGTTATTATATAATATGCCTGAGTTGCATCTCTCTGTGTCCAGAAATGCACAAAAGTTATTTCTCGTAGTTAGGGCCCTCTTGAGTTATGCTTGGAGTACTTCTTTCAGCTTTTCAAGTCTAAATAAATGTAAGCATCACTTCAACACTAAGTTCATCTCTCCAGCTTGTCAGGGTGCCTCTGAATGGCAGCACAACCCTCTGGCACATCAGCTGTTCGTCCCAGTTTTATATCATCACTTATGCTGGAGGTGCACTCTGTCCCTTCATCCAGGTCACTGGGTGGACAATACTGGACCCAGTATTGACCCCAGGGAGCACTGCACCATATAGGCCACCAGCTGTACCTTGTGCTGTTCATAACAACCTTCTGAGCTCTGTCATTCAGGCAGTTCTCAGTCCATTCCCTGATTTCCTATGCTTCCCGGTGAGGATGTTGTGGAAGACAGTGTTAAAGCCTTCCTGCAGTCGAGGTAGACAAAGGTTCCTAATTCTGAACCTTATCTGTCCTTTTTACAAGGAAGCTGAAGAATTCTCCAAGTATGTCTTATCTTTTTTACTCTTTATTTCTCAAAGCCTGACTCCTTATAACAGTATTTGAATATATTTAATATTTGTTCTTGCTTAGGAAGGCATGCTTAAACTGTGAGCAGGTTTGTATACTAAGACTTGCTGGTAAATAGCCACAAAAGACAGAAAGTCTTGGTTTACTTATGAAAGAAGATAACATTTCTGTTCAAAATACTTATGTGCAATAAAATATTTCCAAAATTTATTTCTTATTCATTTAAACTCAGGAAGAGAAAACTTCACATTTACCAGTTGTATCCTTGTTCCACTCTAACAAGACTCTAGCTGTAACCTTTAATTTAGAGGACCAAGGAACTTTCCTGTGGGTACACATTGCATAGAATGAGACCCTTTGCTTCTGCATCCTCAGGATGATGGCTGTAATTCTTTCACTTTTTTTTTTTTCCTTTTACAACTCTTTTATTCAGAATACATATAAGTATATATTTAAAGTTCTTCAGAGGGTTACTGCTGTGATGCAGTGAGTGGGTTTCTGTCTGTGATCAGCTTACAAATATGACCATCCATGGTTACGTGAAGTTCTGCTGTGCTGATTCATAGTTCCCACAACTTTAGTGCTTTATTATAAATAATGGTTCCTTTGGGAATATTGTAGCCATTATTATTTTAATGATTAGCTTTTATGTGGGGGAGTGYGCATGCTTGCTTGAATTGGATGTTACATTTGAATTGGTGGTCCTGCAAAAACTTCCCTCAGCAGCAAAAACTTTGCAAAAACTTGTAAAAATTCTGAAGGTTTCACTTTATTGCATAACAGGGTCAGCTTGCAGGCAGTATTGTAACAACTGCTGTAGTTGTTGTCAGGTGTCTGTACTCTATTGACCAGTGGCAATCTGACAAACTTCTGTTCTAATGGTCCAGAAATGAAAAGCTGGGCATTTGTGCAAAGCAGCACAGTGTCCTAAAAGGCGTTTGAATGGTTCCCCAAACTCAGGCAACTCTCTCCCATCTGAATCCTAAGGAAATGGCACCTCTGTAGTGAGGCTTAATATGAGAGTGCTTTTCATGAGGAATTCTCCATAGTCACTTCAGCATTAATGGCAATTCTGGCCATGGCAAGTAGATAGCCTTTCACCATTAATTTTCTCAAGGGTTCTGTCTTGAAGAAGACTGCTGAACAGTCCTTCAAACCACCCAGCTGAAGTTGGGCAGAGTTATTGTAGTTCTTAGTTTCTTTCACTCCTTTTGCTTTCAGTTCTCACACAGTTTTGCGTTTTGAAAATATTTCCCCGCCACCAAAGATTTTTAAGAAAGGGGTTTTAACCATGAAAGCCCAAAACGTGAGTTTACAGAGATTTTTCTAGCATCTGCCTGAGAATTTAAGGATATTTGTGTTTGAGTGAATTATACATAGAAATAAAAAGAAATAAAGGGGCTGATGATTTTCCTAGATCACTGATCGTGATCTTGTCAGGTTTTTGTATGTATTTACCGAGGTAAAAAAGACTGAGCATCTCTTTTAAAAACACCTTCAATTCTTTTTAATAGTTGACTTGCCATGAAAGAGATCTGCTCGTAATGGATAATAGTGAGTCCACATATTTATCTGGTAATTTTATTTACCTGCATGTAAAAAGGCAGCATATTCCTTCTTTTCTGTTGTAAATGCAAACACATTTTAGGCCAGTTCCAAGGCATTGCAATGTATAAATGTGGTGTGTTGCCTCTGAAACTTTCAACTTGCTTGGTCTGCAAACGGTCTTAAATAGACATAGTTGTGGATGTCGCTACCGTGTTTGTTTTTTGTTAAGATATTTAGAAATATCTTCAGATAAATAAAATTTATTTGCATTGCTGGTTCTCATTCAAACTTTATCAACCGCATGTTTGCAGAGAGTGATAAGCCACGAGCAGGAACAGGTGAACCAGTTTTAAGTCTGCACTATAGTACAGAAGGAACAACTACAAGCACAATAAAACTGGACTTCACTGATGAGTGGTAAGAGGTTACTTTTGTATTTTACTTACTGTTTTTGTTATTGATAAGCCCATTTTGCTTAGATGCAGATACATTTCAAAATAGTATATACCTGTTTTCCATTAGGCATACTTGTAATTTGAAGTGGCTGTGATCCTTGATCCACTCAAAATAGGCATTCTTTAGCATGGAATTTATGCAGGAGTTTTTGATTTGTGAGAGTTACCGTAAATCTTTTTTTTACGCTATTATTAGCAGTGTGAAACTTGATTTCATGGTCAAATAATAGTGTCATGTTAGGTTATTCACTGATCTTGTCTTTATTAAGCAGGCTACTATTGTGATGGAAAGTTAGTCCAGCAGTTAGAATTTAAGCCTTAATTCTGTGCTCCAGATACTATTGAGCAAATTAGTCTTTCTGTGGCAGAGTTTCCTGGTTGTAAAATAAGGAAATTACTATTTACTTTAACTAGTAATCTGTGCATTTACATGGAATGAAGACTTTGTCCATATGGATTTGAAATGCTGAGATTCTCAATCTAGAATAAGCACGCTGTGCTGCTTCTAGCAACATAACATGAATCAATTTACAAATCATGTAGAAATGTAAAAAAGATAATGTAGAAATGTAAAAAAGATAATGGTAATAACAGACCACATTCTTGAGAATCATGCTTGCAGTTCTCTCAATTGATATTTGTTTCAGATATTTTTGTGTTGCTCTGGAGACCATGTAAAGTTTAACAGGTCACAAGAGAGGGTCAGGGAGAGAATAAGAGACCTCAAGAACAAAGCTTTGTCGTTTGTAAATTTAAGATATTTTTCAGAGTGTCTAAAAAAAGTTTATTGATGTTTGGAAAGAATATTTTATGTTTCCAATGGAATTCTTTCCCTTATTTTAAAACAGAAATTGGTGTTCCAAATAATTACCTAATTCAGGCATGAAGGAATCAGTTTCAAGTACAAATCTTGCTAAATATGAAAACTTTGAAGCCTGAAAATCCAAACTGGAAGCCTGTGTCTCAGGATAGAGAAATGATAAATAAGGGTAGAGCACCTGGAAAATGCTTTCTAAACTTGTTTTACAATAGGATGGGATATGTATGCAATTAGTGCTCATTTGACAAGTAATTAATATAATGAAATGACTTTTTTATCAGTTATTAATAGCAAATTTTATAAATATGAGAAAGCAGAATCCTACTGAGCCTTCACAGAATATTTTAGGAAACAATGAAGAAATCTTTTAAAGCTTCTAGTAAGAGATGGCAATGAAAGAAAGAACAATAGGGATCTGCAATACAGAGAAAGTGTGGGATGAGAAACATGGATGGATGGTAGATGGACATAAGAGAATTTTGAAATTACTGTCAAGTTYGTCAGTTGCAGCTMCAGCTATAGAATTGCTAGCTGACRGTGGCATTTAATAAATAAATAAATWAATTAATTAATTTTAAAAAAGATGGTGGCTAGGCCGTGCTATCACAATTAGCTGTTCAAATCATTTCTGATTCCTTTATGTTTCTAGGAGCAGCACAAATTCAAGCTCTAGAGGGAGTGGAAGTCACTGCAAATCTGAAGGCCAAGAAGACTCTATGAAAACAAAAGCCTCTGAAGAGTCAACACCTGAGGATGAAGAAACAAGTAAGATGCAGCATTATTTCTGCAGTAGTAAAGTTGATGTTCTACTCCAGTGTGTATTGAGGGGCCTATTTTGTCCCTCATTTATATTGGGGAAAATAGTACAACCAAAATTTGCAGTCATAAATGACTGACATGTATTGTTTCTTTTCCTTTAAATTTTTACTTCCAAATTTTCTTTCAAATGTTCTTTGCCAAAATGACAGTCAAATCAAATGACTGGTGAGTTCCATAGAAATGCCTGGAAATACTTTAAAACCACACATCCCTACAACCGTTAATGGAGAGATAACTTAATTTTTGTGTTGAGAAACATCCACTTTTAATGATTTTATATTTCAAGAATATTAACACTAATTTTGTATCTAAAATTTTCATATAATTGAAATAYATGAAGGATCAAGAATGAAATACTTTTTTCTCTCTCTCTTTGTATATTGACCTGAGCAGTAAGTTAGAAATCTGTATTTTGACTCCTGCTGAAATMTTGGATACTGATCAGACAATGTTGCATGTAGACTTCAAAGGGCACTGGTTTGACCTAGGACTGGTATTATTACATAGATTTCCTTATATTATTGATGCTTGTTATGCTAAAATCATGTGATTTACTGTTTTATTCAGGAATTCCAGATGAATCTCACAAGGATGACTTAAGTGCTGGAGGACTGAGAAGTGCAGATGAAACTGCAGAGACAACAGAAGTAGGTGTGTGCCTGTCCTTTTTCAAACATAATTACAAGAAGTAGAGAACAAAAAACCTGAATTTCCAATATGAACTCAATATGCCTCATTTAATTTCTATAACCATTTTATAATGTTGCCTAAAATACATTATAAGCAGTGTGACCTCGGTTGACCAGTATTTTCTCTTAGCTGTGTCAGATGCATCTGTTTCTGAACATTCTGGAAGCCAAGCAGAAGAAAAAAGTGTTCCTGGTGTTGATACTGCCCCAAGAAATGTAGAGGAAGGCTCCTCGTGTGAAAAAAGTGCAAGTCAAGAAATGCCAAGTCAGCCAGGTACCGAATCCACTGCCAACTCACATGCTGCAACTGATGAACCTCAGTCCCACCCGGAATCCTCAGGGCTTGCAACTCCAGAGGAGTCCTGCACCAGGACCTCCGCTCTCCAGGAAACTGATGACAGCGATGATGACCCTGTCCTGATCCCTGGAGCAAGGTATCGAGGAGGACCAGGACACAGGTTAGAGGAACATTTACCTCTCTAATTACTTGCCCAAATGTATTTTTGAAGGGAATACCTGGAAATTGATGCCTTACGTCCCTAATTAAAATCTAAGTCCTTCTTTAACAACTAGCCAAGAGTTTGGTGGCTGAGTCTAATTTGCCTCTATGTGAGGTCTGTGTAACTACATTTTCCCTCCTAAGGGGCAAGCTCCCACAGATCTAATACTGCTTGTGCTTATATCTCGTGTGCTATATGTGGCAGTGCTGAATACTTGCATTTTTTTTTTCCCAGTATTCTTACTGGAGTCATAAGTAAGGAAAGTTTATAAATCTGAGTTTAGGATACAGGAACCTACATTTTATTTTGCCCTTATTTTATTTTTTTTCCTTGTGTTGGTTATTGAATATCAGTATGTATATTGAATATCAGTATGTACGCGTGTATAATAGTCACAGAAATTAGGTAGAATACTAAGGGTTCTCTCTCTGAAAAGGTGCACTTCACTGTTACTTTTTTTTCTTCTCTTTTTCTTGTTCAGTAAGCCAGCCCACAATATTGCCCCGATCCAGTATTGCTGTATTAATATACCCTGTTAATTGACTTGAGTTCTTAGACTTTTTAAATGCTATCATAATTAAAGAACTTYATTGTTGGATTTAAGCACTTTACCTCTAGCATGTGATAGCTTTTGTAATAATGCAATAAGAATGAAACTTTGAGGTATCAGACAGATGTTAGTTTCCCACTAGAAGCTACATCATAAATGAAGTTACACTCCATTTTGCATGTTTTTTGTACTTGTTTGTGTACAGACTGTTTTCTTGCTATAGCAGTTGAAATTTTTCATATGGGATAGAGCATTCAGTTAAATTAATGATACAATTAAAATTCCTTGTGCAGCCTCTTGCTTCCTCATTTTTCTCCCTCCTCCCAAAAAGAAAAAAAAAAAAAAAAAAGAATCTGACAAAAGCTGGATAGCCAGTACTCCCTTAGCATTGCCTCTAGGCTTTCAAGTAGTCAGGTTTAACGCCTGAACACTTCACTTTGTTCTGCTGGTAGTTTTCTAGTTTGAATTCTAATCATCCAGCTGTATGTTTAGATACATTTTTCTCCTAATTTGCTGGTCTGAGAAGCATCGAAATGCGCTTTGAGCTAATAAGTAAGGTAAACTTTGTGTTTTCAAAGGTATTAGGGTTTCTAGAAAGAAAGCAGACACTAGTGGTCTTAAAGGCTAACTTAAAGGCTAACTTAACCTTCTTTAGCTGTTATAATTCACCTGAAAAAGAATGAGAGGACACCAAGGCCCTGTGCACTGCTGCGGCATATGTTAGGGCATCTAGTTCCTTTCATAAACTGATCAAATTTACCTGAAATCTGCCAGACCCCTTGCCTTGTGGCAAGCTACTTCCAAACATCCCTTCTGTGATCAACTTAAGTTGGCTATAATTAATCAATATATTTTTGTAATCAGTGTATTCTTCTGCTAACGTAACATATTAAATAGTTCTTCTGTTCCCAGAGTTTTTCATTTGAAGGATGTTTGTCAGCTCTAGTCTCWCTAGACTAAGTATGCTGCCCTTTTCTGTGCTCTTCTCAGTACAAATGTGAGTGTTCTCCCTGTCATCACACACTCTGTGCTCTTTCTAGTTCCACTTCTTTCTTGAATCTGGGAGACCAGTTATATACACTGTGCTATTTAGATTTTTCTAGGAATAACAATAATAATATTGCCCTTTGTCTAGAGGAGATTCTCTCAGATAGGAGAGTGCTGCAGTTGCCTCTTCCTCCCCCCTCACCTCTAGCTGCCCCTTATTGRTGGCTTGTCACCAGACATAGGATCAGTTAGTAGGCTGAAGTCTTTTTCCAAATTTGTCCTTTCCATCAGATGTGTTCTCATCTCGTCCCAGAAGGAGGTTCAGAYGATACAGCTGTCACTTTCATGCTCTTGAATTCCTTCCTTCCTCTTCCAGCTCCCCCAAGGCCCTCCTGTTTGCCCTGTACTGCCAATATTGGCCAGCCTTAAGTCCCAACACACTGCACGGGTGCATTCCTACCCTTTGCTCAAAGATTATTAGTGTTATGTGAAATCAGTGCCCTGAAGCCTGGTGCCTAAACAACTCCACCAGCGTGCTTCCCATAGGCTAATGTTTACATTTTCCACACTTTGTAAATTGTGTTACCTAACCATTCCTTTACTAAACTTCATCTTCTCCAGTTTACCTAATAATTCAATTTTTCATATGTCATCGTATGAGAAAATTAATGACCGTAATATAGAAGTACTACAGTACATTTTGCCTCTCTAGAATATCTGAAGGGAGTTATTTGATTTCTTCCCCCAGAAAGGGTTAAAGGCCAGGCTACAACCATCTATCTCTTGCAAACCTATTTTACAGTAGCAAAAAATGCTTGTGTTTATTTAGGGAAAAAAAAAAAGGCTGTAACTTTCTGAAATAGTGTGTTAAAAGTTGTTTGACTAATGAGCCTTTTTCAGTATATAACATTAAATGGTTTTTAACTGCGGAGGAATTTATTCTTTTTTCTTTTTCCCATGCTTAAKTACTAGTTATTGTTTCTATAGAGGAGAAATTCTGCAGCTGGGGAAAGTGAAGATTGAGGAAACTGTCTTAGAGCCAAACTCCTGCTGTAAAGCACAACTTTGCCCCACTGAGGGGGCATTAGAAGGGTAAAGGTCTGAGTCTCTGCTCTGAGACCGAGGAAAAGCCGTGTCAGAAATAGCCCCTTGAAGTCTCCTTCAACAGTTCTTACAGTTACATCGTAGGAGGGCTTCTTGCCTCACAAACACTAACAGAGCTCATTCAGATTCATGTAGATTTCAAACTTATGAAGAGAATTTTGTCCATGTCACATATGTATTCTTTAGAGAACTTACATTTTTGAATTGTTTGGATGTAAATTCAACTCTTAATATTTCAAACTGAGGAATGRGTCTTTCCCTCTCCCAGCTGATGCGAAGGACAGACTATTAAGTATTGCTTAAAAATCTCAGAATACAACAAAAAGAGACACTTCCTTGTCAACTTGCCTGAAATTGAACTCCCAGGAAATACTGTGCAACAGACACAGAAACAAAAAGTCTGAATTTAATTTCAAATATTTGAAAAGGGCTTTTAAAAGTAGCACCAAGGAAATTTCCTACCAAGTATATGGAAATGCTTTAGTCCTTTGTGGATTGATAAATTGTTTAAGTGAATGGAAAGTATWTTTGACAATGGAAAATTTGGTCTGACATCTTTTGGAGCCTGTGTCAACTTGGAATARTTTTATCAGAAAGGCAACCCTTCCAAAGGAACACCTGGGAATGTGACATCTCTTTCCTGTAGTATTTCTGCGTTTGCTAGGCATTACCATGGGAAGGGTGACACAAGTGACAAAACGAAGCTGAATAGTTCTTTGGCCTTACCACCATTGCACTTGGCAATGCGTGCTGATTTCAGTGTAAGTGTATAAGCAGCTGCCCTAAGTAATTTTAAATTTAAAAAAATCAAAGCTGTTTCGTATAGCAGGGCTGTCTATCTAGAAACTAAACAGGGAAAAATAAAACCTCTGGGTGTCTTAGGGAATCCGTGGGAAGAGATTCCTTCTCTTTGAAATGTGAGGACCTATACAGGCTTTAGATTTGAAGTAGGTTGGTAACATATTTTTTTTTAAATTTACAAAGTCCAGCAAATGCATTTGCCTCAGAGAAAGGTAATATGACTTGTTCTTGTGGGAAAAAATGTATTTTTTGCAAATTATATGCAGCTTTTAACTGACTCAACTTGGATTTTCATAGAATTGATCAAAATAGCTCTTTGAGGGCTGTTTTCAAACTTAAATGACTGAATTAATTTTGTTCAGACTTTGATGGAAGCAGATCTATGAGCAAAGGCTAAGCCTGGAAAATTTTAAATTACTAATTTAAAATTTCCAACACATACAGTTGTAAAAGGAAAGTGATTGTGTAGCTGTTCTCATTTCTGCTGTGATACYATGAAGAATTACTAGACTTTACAAATCAACTTTGTGTACTAATCTGTAATCTGAATATTATTCATGTTGAAATCAAAGTATKCTCATATACTAACATAATGAGGAGATGGAATCTTCTCAGTTGGGATAAGTAGAGCACATTTTATAATAGATACTAACCTCTAAAAAACATGATACCCAGAATTTTTGAATGACTTCAGTTGTTGTTCCCTTCACTAGATATAATATCAGAGGAACAGCGATAGGTGATAGAATAATGAGGTAATTCATTATCTTCTTCCTCCCCTCTCCCTCTCCCTTTCCGTATAATTGATTTATCAGGTTCTTGGTTTTTCTGTCTAACCAGCATTTTAAAAATGGCTAAACTGTAAATGCTATGAACTGCAGAGCATATTGCTTGAGTTAAGAATAGCTGCATGTGTTGCATGGAAATTGAAAGTAAATTGCAGTGTATACATTTAACAACTTATTAACCTTTCTTTTGCGTGCCATAGAAATAAATGTAATTTGAAAAGTGTGTACTTGTATTTAAAAAAAAAARTCATTTGCTGAGGAACACGTTGTATTTGCTTGTGCCACCATTGATTTGCTTTGTCTGTAGAAGAGAACACCCAGTTCTGGACAAAGATGCACAAATATAAGAATATAGATGTTAAAGGCCATTTATTTATTTATTTATTTATTTATTTATTTATTTCCCTGATCAAAGCTGTGGAACTGCCTGTAACTGTTAGAGTCCATTACAATTTGGCAAGAGAAGTGCTGTATCTTATGGAGTGTTTCTTTTAATGAAGTGAAAGGAACAAGTCACTTGATCTTATGTCCCCTCTTGAAATACTTAAGTGAATTAGTTGCGAGAGCATATAAAACTATTACAAACACCTGTGTCTAGCAMAATGGAGAAACTGTATGCTGTGATTTAATGCCAGAGGCCTCTATATACGTGAAAGGGWGAAAACAAGTAGGGAAAAACAATCATGATGATGAAAATTGACACCAGGACCATTTCTAAGTACCTAGAAATGAGAAGTCTCAGAAAGTGGTTGCATAGAACACACCTGAGTCCTGTGTTTTTGATATGTACAGGAAAAAAATAGCAGAGAAGTGTATTCCTTTGTCATATATTCCAGCCTTAGCTGCTGTTGGAGTAAATGATTTTGATTTAGCTGCTTTCTTAAAGTTTCAGAAGTCTGTATGTTTCCTRCTGTACTGGATCTAAATTTCTTGATAAGCATTTTTGTCACTGTAAGCATGCTTAGCGTGGGGTTTTATCAGTGCCCATGAGAAAAAATTGTTTTATATTGCTATAAATGTAAGATTAAAAAAAGAATGGTGCGTTCATCATAGATTTTTTTCATTAGTGTATTTTTCTCTGATTTTCATTTTTCTGCAGTGTATTAAGTGAAAAATTCAAAAATGAGACTACTYGGAGGATAGGTTGTTGGAAGGCTGTGGAAACAACTTAGGATTGCTCAGACAGTGCATTATGATAAACATTTCTTTTGATATGATCAGCAATGAAATAACTGATTAAATAATGTTAGTGTTGTCTTTAGGATCAAATTGATGTGTTAGTAACACAATGGTTTTGTCCTTGTTTTTAATACTTAACACTTGAAATTTGCCACCAATAGAAAACCTCTTCTATAACCAGAAAGATTTCTAAGAGAACTTTTTGGTAATTAAAATCTGAAAAACAAYCAAATCTTGATATTTAGGAAAATGATCTATTTTAGTATGGTTTGGTAGTTATTCACCTTCCTGCACTGAATTTGATTTTGGTGATGATAGCCGAGCTATTAAAGCATTTTGCTGAAATTCCTGGTCAGGAGCGTGGCAGCTGGTGAGTGGGTTCCTCCAGTGGCAATGTTGGGTCTGGCTGCTTCTCTGCTGCTCCTTTAGTCAAGACCAGGGTCAAGGCAAAAATAACTGCAAGGCGTCAAAGAAATAGCTCCTAAGTTAACAGCAGTAAGTTCCCTGCAGCTGTTTTGGTTCGAGGAGCAAATAGTTAAAATAGTTATCTAGGTACTGAATAGTTAAAATAGGAAGAGGGCTACTGGGAAGAAGGCTTTTGTCTGAAAGAACAGAGAAGAAGGAAGCAGGGTTTCTGTACCTGAGCAAAAAGAGACAGTTCTTGACTGTGCGTGCATAAGTAAATTTGGTGTGTTAAAAAGCAGGAAAAATCKTTAGTATTGCAGGAAGAAATTCCCTTTAACTCAACTAGTCCGAGTTGAGGGAAGGGGGCTACAAAGCAGAAGCAGGTTGAGCAGCTGTACTAGCCCGGGGGAGGAGCCGTCTGTGTGCGTGGCGCTCGGAAAAGCAGCTTCTCCGGGGTAGCCCGGTRGTTTTTATTAACACACGTTGTTCCATTAGTGGTTGTATGCCCAGTGGCAGGGGCCTGTGGCTAATTTACAGATTGAGTTGATGCATAGTTACGATTGTCAACAACAGCACCTTTCTTGAGCATCTCTCTTTAGCAGCCTTAGCTGGTAGTTTCTTTGCTGTTTGTTTTGGCTATTTATACCATGTACCTAGGGATCAGTCTGCATTTCTGTGATTATTTCCTTTTCTTTTGGATCTGTGTTCAAGTGAACAAACATAATGGCTCCAATGATAAATACCTGAACCAGCCATCTAGGGTCTTATTTAAATTGGCTTTTGATTGCTAATGCTTAATTGATTTTTAAGACTTAAAATCTGGCTGATTCTAAGGGAAAAACAGTATTCTCATCCAGGTCTATATACATAATTTTAGAAATAATATTTTAAGATTTCTATTTTTCCACAAGTTGTACAGTATTGGAATGATGAAAGTATTGTTCATCATCTTGGCTTCAACCTAATGAAGACAGCATGCACCAGCAGGATTGTAAGATACTGTGCAAAAGTACCACAAAATTTGGCAAAACATACGTTAGCTTCATATCTTAGGACAAGACAGTAGTAATGAATTATTCTGAAGTCAGAGCACTACCTACAATAGGGAGGTATAACTTAAGCAGTTAGGTTCTATTGGCTTTACAAATCATAATCAATCTGGATTATTTGCAGCATAACATTTTCCTACCATCAACTCTTAAAATATTAATAACATTAATATCTATTAATGCCAATATTATCTAATAACATTAGTATCCAGCATTCTCAAGTATTTCCACTCYTTGCTACCTGAGTCTGAATCATTTATAATTGCAACACTTGATGGAGTTTGCCTGAGAAAGGCTGACACCATGAGCAAACCCTGTGTTATCTGGCACTCTGCTTTTGCAGGCACAGTGGCTTGGAAGGACGGTGGCAGCAGCAGCAGCTCCAACCTGCCTTAGTTCAGGCCAAAATTTGGAGCAGTGGGAACCACACAAGCCCTTCCCGCATCTCCTGGTGCACCAGCTGCCTGGCTTGTGATCCAAGGTGGCCTCTCTTGGCACTGACAGGAATTGCTTATGACAAGTCTTATCGCAAGTGAAGGTCATGCAAGAAAAAAAAAGTTGAATTTAGATTTTTTTGCTCTGTGTGACTTATAAATTAATATAAAAATCTGTCCTCAGGGAGAAGTAATACTTCCCTGAAAGAATCCTTCCCCTTCTATGTTCTGTTCTTGGCTCTGAAGTGTTGTTGCACTGGGCTCACATTTGTCTTCTCTGGCAGGGACCTGCCAGCTCCCTATTCTCCACAGCACCGTGCTGGCAGCCCCCATAGCAGTGTCAGAGCCACACGGGCCTCTTTAGCTGCTCCCTGCAGAAGGGAGTCCTTAACTGCACGCGGTAATTAAATCCCAGCCCCTTCGTGCCTTTAGAAATAAGACCCCAAATTAGGATTCAGAGTTGAGTCTAGTTAAGACAGTGGTAGTTTTAACAAAACAAACAAAAAAGCATTCTATCCTGTCTGCTTTTAGTTTTTTTTAAAAAAAAGGAATCTAAATACTGAATAGTCTGGAATCATTTTGTTCTGTGGAAGTTCCGTTTTGGGGGAATTTAGAGAAGTAGATAAATCTTCATAGAGATGCTCAGATGAAAAAAAAATGAAAGAAACTGCCTTTCTATTGCTAATGCTATTTAGTTGCATTAATATTATCTTTGAGCCCAAAGACATCTTTTAGTTGCAATCTAGCGAGCAACATTTCTGCGAGATCTAGGCAATTCTGCTGCTACATGAAGTTCAGCTTTTCAATTTTTTCCGTTGCTTTTCTGGTAGGTAATTAATGTGGACAAATAAACCCCTTCCCAAAGCACAGATAGGAATTATATCAAGGGACAACTGCAAGACTAGTAGACATGCCCTTCAAATAAAGAAAAAAGAACTTAATGTGTTGGACMGCAGTGCTGCGTAATCGTTAATATGGTTTTTAAGTGAATGACTTAACTGTTTCTTGACTTAACTGTTGACCTAACTGTTCATGACTTAACTGTTTCTTCTTAACAAGATTCTTACATTTACTTTCCCTCAGAAACCACATCTCTTCTTAGACCCTCCTAGTATAAATGTGCACCAGCAGTTGTATTTGTGAAATCTCTGTAAGCATTTTATCCCACCTTATTTTTTCTTTTATGTAGAAGTAAATGTGAGGAAAATACTTYTGTGATTTGTAAAGTTTAAATAAGGAATAAAGACTCCCATTTTTTCCTCCATTATATAAACTTTTTTGGGGACTGTTTGGATACATTTCCAGGAAAGGTATTATAATGAGGAGCCCACTGTTAAGTGGATCTTTTGGCTGTATATCCTAAGTATATCCTAATTTCTAAACAATGGCATTAAAATTGCCTTTAAAAAAAAAAAAAATTAGCTCTATTGCATGTGTTGTCTTACGACAGTTTGTTTTCTAGTGTTTTCTGTATTAATGACTCATTACTTACATTCATTTCCCATCTTTATCTGGCTGTAGGATAATACTTGTTTCAGCTTAAGTTTTGTTTCCAACCTTCTCCTATGGGGGGAAAAAAAAATCACAGATCACTGACAGAAATGTGATAGATCTATTGTTTTGTTTTGTTTTGTTTTTGCTTTGTTTTTGTGGGAAAGAGGATTTATAGCRAGAGTCTAGAAATACAGAGAATGACTCAAACATCCCACCCCACCATTTCTGGCCTGCTGAGGTAACTAATCTCCTGGAAGCGACACACTGAGATTTCTTGTATTCGTACTACTAAAAATCTGTGTACCTCCTCCCTCTGAGAGCGACGTGGCCTTTTGACTCTGTTCAGGACCCTGCTGTGTCCCAAAAGAAGAGATTAGGTGCAGGCTCTGTGGGGTGATAGTTCCTTTGTAGTAATGGGAAACTGTAAAACAAAAAAAGGCTAAACGGGATCAAACTGGCACCCGAGACTTTCCATACAACAAAAAGTAGCTTCCTGGAGCTGAACAGCTACAGAACAGACTATATCATTTACCCCATTTGCTTTCTATATTATTTTGGGAAATCTGCTTCTGTGTAGGTCCACTGCAAAAATATTTTCTATTATATTTGGTCTCAAATCATATTTTGCCAAATTTTCAAACTATCTTCATCTTCAGTCTTGTCATGCAGAAGTAGTGGAGAGAAGTAGATGTAATGAAATTAAAAAAAAATACTGGAGGGCCTACTAGATCTCTTGATAATTTTGGTTTATTATGTTGTTTTTTGGATTTTGGGTTTTATTTTTAAAAGCTGGTGTTTCAGCAGTTTTCTACTTTAGAACTTACCTTGGTATGGCTGTGCTTTCTCCAACACTTAAGGGCAGCCCAGCACATGAGTTTTGCCAACATCCAGGTCTTGTATCACAGAGAGAAAATGAAATACTGCATCACCTGACATCCCACTGTCTTGCATGCTGTTCTTGTTCTAAGCCAGAATGGATAAAAATTAAGTTTGTACTTTTAAAAATCGAGATAATGTTGATGTCTGTTCCAAACGTAGGGAGAATGTGTTTGAGTGGCCAATTACTATTTTGAGGTCCTTTTTGAACATGTRTTTCAGTGTTTAGAGATGGTCTTTCAGTAGTCTTTTCTTTGTGTGCAATTTATAGACGATCTGCTGTTGCCCGCATTCAGGAACTCTTCAGGAGGAGGAAAGAAAGAAAAGAAATGGAAGAGCTGGAAACTCTGAATATTCGACGTCCTTTCATAAAGATGGTTTATAAAGGTCATCGCAACTCCAGGACAATGGTACAACATCTTTGTCAGTTACTGGAATTGTAGAGTGGGTTTTACAGACTGCTTGCTGAAAGTTATGGCAATATATTGTAAACACTTTTATTTGCATTTTGGAGTTTGGAAGACACATGAATTGCTCTATTTGAAAATTCAAATGAGTATGGTTGATGTGTCACCATGTCAGGTATTTGTGTTTTCTCAAGTTGAAGATTCTTTCTCCTCAAGTTCCTGTGGAATCTTGGGTATTTATTTCTCTTAACTACCTTTTCATCTTATCTGTCATGTTAAGTGGTATAAAATGTGCTTTTCCTCAGAATTATCATTTAATCCTAGTTTTAATTGCGCCATGGAGAATGCTTAAGTAAATGCATATTTTAGTCTACATGAGCCATGGTGCTTTGGATGAAATTTTATTAATGACAAGATTTCTGCACTGTATTTCAATAATTAATTTTTCCAAAATCCCAGTGAGTTTAAAGGTCATAGCATTAAGCACTTTGTAGTTAATGGATGTCAAACTTAAGCGTCCTTAAGTGACCTTAATTCAGTCTCAATCTGCATATATAATACTGACTTCATGGATTTCGTTATTCGTGTTTTTGAARTGTGGGTTGGTGTTTTGGGGAGGGGAGAAGGGAGTATTTCTCCTTGAGCGCATATGGCAAGGAACTCGCATAGTGGAAGACTATACAATTCCCTGTGCTCTTTTCCATGGAGGCTTGAKCTTCATTTAAATTAAATTCATTTTGATGGATGCACTTCTTGTAAGAAGAGAGATTACAGTATCTTCATTTTAAATCTGTGAAGGAGACAGATTAATGAGAGGTCTTGTTTCCTACATACCTGAGCAACTCAGGACCACAACTTTCAATGACCTGAACGTGGAGCTATGTAAAGGCATATACGTAAGGAAAGTGGATTCAGGTTATGCAGGCAAATTTACTTGTTCTGGAACTTTCTTTCTCTGAGTTTCAGTACTTTTCAGATTTGACAATCTACCAATTTTCTTTTTAAATAAGAATATTTTGAACCTGATCCTTGTGTATGGATGGGTAAGGAATGTATGTATGGATGGGTAAGGAATTGCTGGGCAAAGTGAGTGAGAAAAAAGGAGTGTACAGCTTGTGGAAGAAGGGACAGGCCACGTGGGAGGAATACAGGCGCATCGTCAGAGAATGCAGATGCGAAACGAGGAAGGCCAAAGCCCCGGTGGAATTAGAGTTGGCGAGGCAAGTCAGAGACAACAGGAAGGGTTTCTATAAGTATGTCAATAGCAAGAGGAAGACGAGGGAAAATGTTAGTGCACTACTGAATGGGGAAGGGGCCTTGGTGACGGAGGATGCGGAGAAGGCAGAGTTACTAAATGCCTTCTTTGCCTCTGTCTTTACTGCTAAGGCGACCCCCCACGAACTGCAGGGCTCCAATAGAAGAGACATAAATGGGCAAGAGGAAGACCTTCGGCAAGTAGAGAAGGATTGGGTTAGGGATCACTTAGGCAAACTGGCCACTCAAAAATCTATGGGCCCAGATGGGATGCACCCAAGAGTGCTGAGGGAATTGGCCGAGGTTATTGCTCAGCCTCTCTCCATCATCTTTGAGAGGTCCTGGAGAGCAGGGGAGGTGCCCGAGGACTGGAAGAGAGCCAACGTCACTCCAGTCTTCAAAAAGGGCAAGAGGGAGGAGCCGGGCAATTACAGGCCGGTCAGCCTCACCTCCGTCCCTGGAAAGGTGATGGAACGGTTCATCCTAGAGAGAATCTCCAGGCATATGGAGGAGAAGAAGGTGCTGAGGAGCAGTCAGCATGGATTCACCAAGGGGAAGTCATGTCTGTCGAACCTCATAGCCTTCTATGATGGRGTGACAGGCTGGCTGGACGAGGGGAGAGCCGTGGATGTTGTCTACCTTGACTTCAGCAAGGCTTTTGACACYGTCTCCCATAATATCCTCGTACAGAAGCTCCGGGAGAGTGGACTAGAYRAGTGCACGGTGCGGTGGATCAAGGGCTGGCTGGAYRGCAGAGCTCAGAGGGTGGTSATAAAYGGGGCCGAGTCCAGTTGGAGGCCTGTGGCCAGTGGTGTCCCCCAGGGGTCTGTRCTRGGCCCAGTGCTGTTCAACYTGTTYATCAATGACCTGGACGAGGGCACAGARTSCACCCTGAGCAAGTTTGCAGATGACACCAAGCTGGGTGGAGTGGCCAACACTCCGGAGGGCTGTGCTGCCATCCAGAGGGACCTGGACAGGCTGGAGAGTTGGGCAGAGAGGAACCTCATGAGGTTCAACAAGGACAAGTGCAGGGTCCTGCACCTGGGGARGAATAACCCCAGGCATCAGTACAGATTAGGGGTCGACCTGCTGGAAAGCASCTCCACGGAGAGGGACCTGGGAGTCCTGGTTGACACTAAGTTAACCATGAGTCAGCAGTGTGCCCTCGTGGCCAAGAAGGCCAATGGGATCCTGGCTGCATCAGGAGGAGTGTTGCCAGCAGGTCAAGGGAGGTGATTCTGCCCCTCTACTCAGCTCTGGTGGGGCCGCACCTGGAGTACTGTGTGCAGTTCTGGGCACCCCAGTATAGGARGGACGTGGAGCTTCTSGAGAGGGTCCAGAGAAGRGCAACCAGGATGATYAAGGGAATGGAACATCTCTCGTAYGAAGAGAGGCTGAGTGAGYTGGGCCTGTTTTCTCTGGAGARGAGRMGGCTSAGAGGGGATATGATTAAYATGTATAAGTTCAGGAAGGGAGAATGCAGGGAGGAAGGGGACARGCTGTTCTCACTGGTGGCCAGCGATAGGACGAGGGGTAATGGCCACAAGCTGGAGCACARGAAGTTCYGTCTCCAGGTGAGGAGGAACTTCTTTACTGTGAGGGTGACAGAGCRSTGGMACAGGCTGCCCAGGGAGGTTGTGGAGTCTCCTACTCTGGAGGTCTTCMAAACCCGCCTGGATGCCGCCCTGTGCCACATGCTSTAGGTGTGCCTGCTTGAGCAGGAAGGTTGGACTAGATGATCTGTAGAGGTCCCTTCCAACCTTAAATATTCTGTGATTCTGCAATTCTGTGTTTGCCAGAAAGTAAAAGGTAAGTTGCCTTATACTAGTGGTTGCTTGTACTGTTGGTACGAGTGGAAACCTGTAAGGTCAACACACAGATCTCTTCCATGAAACCATTAGAATGGTCTAATGTCTTTAGAGCAATAAGGAAATTCTTCTTCTTATGGAGCAGACCTCAAAGACAAAAGCATTTGGGACAGCAGTGGGATGGTGTGGTTTGGGATTTGGTGTTTCTTTCTAGTTCTTGGAGGAAATGATGCTCCAGAGAGCCCAAACTCACTTCCTTCTCCTCAGAATTAGCCTTCTGCCACAAGCCCATAGCTCTCCTTTGTCGTCTTTGTCTTTGCTCTTCTTTCTCTCTTGTCCTACTCTCATTTATCTCCTTGTTCCTTTCATTCCACTCTCTCTGAATCCAAAGTTCCCCTGTTAAAATATTGATGCTAGAAGGTCTCTTTGCTTCAACAGAGCATCTGTTTCCAACAGTAAATGGATRAGTTGTGCATGCAGTATGTACAGTAAAAGTGAGTGTGTACATGTGCTCCACAGGACAAAATATTTTAAATATGGACTTTAGTTGTTTTGACTTAGGTGATGCTAACTTCAGTTTTATTAGCATTAGAAATTTAAAATAAACAGTTTTCTAAAGAAAATAAAAGGAATCAAGRTTCAATCAGAATCATAACTGTGAAATAAAGTGTAAAGTTATTTAATACTGGAGATGTAATTTCAAATATAATTCTAAATTAAATTTTATTTAATATTTGAATGCGCTTCTTACAGGAATATAATTWAAAAAATGAATAAATGGAGCTTTAAAACAAAAGCTGCAAAAAGCTGAAAATATCGGAGTGAGAAGTGAAAAAATTGGCTTGCACTGAAGAATCCTAATTACAGTTTCCCAGACACGGTAGACATTCTGCAGGCTGATTCCAAGCCTGAAATTTAAAGCTGCGCAAACTCTTGCTGGAAATCCAGGAYGCACTGTTAACAGCAGTAGTTTATCACGACAATTTATCATGGCAGTTTTAAAATTAAAACAGCTGGCAGAAGGCGCAGAGCCAGACTATGTCCAGTGTGTTTTCTGGAAAAAAACTATGGGGAAAAAATACTGAGGCACCGGCATCCCCTTCTTCTGGAAGCTCCTTTGTGATCTGCTGYGTGAAGAATTGTTCCATCCTAGAACGTTGTTGGATATAAATGGTCTTTTGACCCCTCTTGGATTCAAATTTCGGTCCCTCATGCCCAAAGCATTTTTAAATACAAAAGAAATGATTTTYATGCTAATGCATCAAGCATCATCTGCATCGCCCTAAAAGCTGCTGCCTCTGAAGAGCGTTTTGGCGTAGGACGCTTCTGTTTGCATAGGCATCTCCTTTTCACTAGCTTGTCATTTCAAACAGATCAAAAGCCCTTTCGGGGTAGTAAGAGGTACGGATAATTGTTAGAAGGGTAATCTTGTGTATAGGATTACATTTTTAACTTCCAGACTCCTTTCTYCAGCCCAAGCATCAGACTGTAGTGGAGCTTTCCATTCACATCTTGTGATTCTGATTATTTTTGAAGCAATGTCCCTCCTCTCTGTGCCATTCCATTTAGCCCTGTGGATGGTGTAAAACAGAGGGATTCAGGCTGGGAAAGACACTGCTGCCAGTCTGTTCTTAGATCACAGAATCACAGAATGGCTGAGGTTGGAAGGGACCTCTGGAGAGCATCCAGTCCAACCCCCGGCACACGCAGGGTCACCCAGAGCACRGGGCACAGGGTTGTTTAACAATGATTATTTTTATGTCCTGCCTCAAGTAAAATAATTTCTGAGGGAGAAAGAGAACTTTGAAAAACTGATGATAATGTTGTGATGGTTTTGTTAATCATCAATGAAGGAAGCGATGCGTTCTTGTTTGCYCAGTTGCTTGGCATCATATCACTTATCTCTCTTCAGGAAGGGAAAGCAAGACAGATGTTGGCATGGAAGGATGATTCTACATTCAACATTTTTAAGTATCCTGGATTTTTTKGGGGGGGCGGTTCAGCAATTAAATGAGCAACATTATTTTTAGGCTGTAGTCGCACTGTGAATATAACTGATGTATCATAATACAAACATATTTTAAAGAATTAGATATCAATTTTTTTCCTGGGCTACAGTTTTAGTTGTTTACTTGAACATTTCCAATGTCATACTATTCTATTTCCTAGGTCAAACCACTTCGGTTCCCTTCAGTCCTACTACTCATGAGACCACAGTACTGTTGAATATTCAAAGTCTGTTTTTTTCCCACTGAATTAATAAATAATATGTTATTTACTACCCAAGTAACTGTTTATAAACAAATCAAGAAGTAAATAACATTGCAATAATAATGATAAAAATAGACATACACATCATTATAAAATATCACTTAATTTAAAAATATTTGTAAGTAACAGTAAGATATTTATTACATTATACATACTCTTATCCTATGTCAATACTGTGTTTTGGGGGAGAGACTGGGAGAATGAGTCAAGAAATTTTAAATTCATCTTCTCCCTTGTCTGCCAAAGGGATATCTAATACAGGGCAAGTTGGGTGTCTTGTCATTATCTATACTGCTATATTTTTGCTCCTCAAAATTAAGGTCAAGGCAGTTTAGCCATTTTTGAGAGGGAAATGGTCACTTCCTTTTTTTTTTTTCTTTTTTTTAATTTTTTTTAAATACTGTTGACAGCTTTTTTGGCAAATGTGTATCAAGAACAATGCTGCTGATGAGACTATTAATATTTATGGGGCTTGACATTCAAAGGCTTACTAAATCACAGCACTTCACACGAGAAGGGGAAACAGAAAATGTAATAAATCATCATACAAGACAGTAAGCTAAAGCGTAAAACCTTCCTTTTACGCAGAGGATGTTCCTGTTCCCTTCAGCCGAGGCTGCCTGTTGAYGGCAGGGGAGCAAAGGCAGATGGAAGTGTTTGCCCTCCCTGCGGAGGCAGCGAGCTGGTCCACATAAACCCTTGTGCCGGCTTCCCCTAACTCCCAAATCTGCCAAGTAGCAGCATAGTGCTTGGCTGCAACAGGCTGTACGGTTTAGGGGGAATGTGGCAGGTTTTCTGGAAGTCCTCTCAGAACTGGGGATCTTCCCTCACTGCCTGGTGGTCAGTGGCTCTTCCACCTAAGTTCACTGACSAGCAGATGTGGAGGCTTGAAGTCACAATGCTATGTCTCTTCTCCCTGTTTTTCTGTGTTAATGAAAAGTTCTTGAGAAGTTTGTGCAAGTTTTGAGTGAAATAATCATCCTATTTTAGGAAATGGTGCCTTAAAGACTTCTTCCTTTAAAAGTGTCTCCAACAAACAAGGAAATCTTCCTTGAATGTTCTAATTGCAGACAGTTACAAGCCAAACCACCTTGTTATCAATAGGCTTGCAGAGAAAGGTGGTAGGCCCAATTCRGAGATTATCCCAGGCCAGTTGTTAATGAATATCTAAAGCGGCTTAAAATGGATAGACTTYGTGTGGTGCTAGTCCAGTCAGGCAAAGTAAAACTGCCTAATCCAGAGTCCAGCATGCTGGAATGACTTTTGCCTCCACTTGCATGATGAGTTTTGCCATGCACTGTAATATTTATGTGAAGCCACATGTGTATGAAAAGAAAAATCCATTTTGGCAATTTATTAAGCTACTCTTTCCTTTACTTGTAACATGGGAAAACCGCCAATAGGTGAAAATGTTAAGTCCCGTCACTTGAAATATTTCTCAATATTTCAAAAGGTGTGCTTGGATACTGTAACAAAATAATGACATGAACAACCCTATAGGATACAACGCATCATCTCTGTGTCAAAAGTTTATGATGTTATTGGTACCACTGGCATGGAACAGCACAACAAGTTTGATCTGCTGTGATAGCTGAAGCTGAATGGTGACCTCCACCCTCATGCCAACCTTCTTCAGTGGCTTATGACTGATTTTGGTTGAGAATGAGAAGTCTTGGTTCTTATCTGATTGATTACRGAAAAAGAAAAGTCCCTCAAAAGTAAATTTGATTCCATGACCCCAATTTATCTGTCAGTCCCAGTTGATTCCTCCTCTCCATTTTTTTTTTCATAAGTTTCGATCTTCTCTTCCTCTGTAAATAGAAAATTCTCACCAGTGATTAGCCTGTCACTCACTCTAATTTACCAAACTCTTCCCAAAACCACGTTCATATGCTGCTGTCTCCAGTACCATATTTCTCACTCTGGAAAGTGACAAATCCGCTATCATTCTCTGTAATCCTTCAGCTTTGTTATAATTTATTTCCTGACTGTTCAGTCTTCCTTGTTTCGTCTTTTCTGTATTAACAGTTACTTTGCTCTGGACATTTTAACCTTCTGATTTTTTTTTCTTTCATGTTTGCTTTTATAAATACCTGTTTTTTCTTTATTTTCATGGCTCTTAGTGTAGCAGCACTGATATTGAAAAAATGGACAKATATTGTTTGAACTGTTCTTTTAAATCTGACAAAGTACTCTTTATTTTTCATTATAGATAAAGGAAGCCAATTTTTGGGGCTCTAACTTCGTCATGAGTGGTTCAGATTGTGGCCATATTTTTATTTGGGATCGACATACTGCTGAACACCTCATGCTGCTGGAAGCTGATAATCATGTGGTGAACTGTCTTCAGCCTCATCCATTTGACCCTAGTAAGATCACAAAAAAGTCACTTTCTGTAGTCTCTGTGTTCATGCCATCTCTTTTAAAACTCAATCTTCAATTCTTTGCCTGAGACCCTTTTAATAAATTTTAATTGAAGTGTTGTTTCTGTTTCTCTTGTAAATTAGATAGCACTGCTTTTATCTTTGGCTTTTACTAATGACCCTTGGCCCTTAAAAGCCCAAATACTGAGTAACTTCTTGGAATAAAAGCATTACTGATGTAATATTCCTAGAAAGCTAGGATGTAGTAAGAAGAATATCCCATCTCCTTGCTTCACCCTTCCCCATTTCATGAACCCCCATAGTTCATGAAATGTTTTCCATGATGCTGTGGAGGGGAATGTGGGGTCACTGCTATACATATATATATATATGTGTGTGTGTGTGTGTGTGTGTGTATATATATATATATCACTATATATAGTGTCTCAGACTTACTGACATTGTGGAGTTAGAAGAGTGAAAGAAAATCATAAGAAATCCATTAATTTGTATTTAATGGGAAAAAAAAAAGTATTTAGAAAAGACAGCCCATAATAGTCCAGAAAGAATTGCATGTCATCGGACAYGTTGATGGAGATCTAAACCATTCTGAAGTTTCTGACACAGTCCAAGACAGCATCGGTGATGTTTTTTTGCTTGAGAGATGCACAGTGTGGAATACATCAACTGTAAAAACAGAAATTAAGCTACAATAATACTAGAAAAGTTTGAAGCTTTTTTGCTTCATTTTAACATTGCTGATTTCAGAAGCACAGTCAGGAACATTTATAGAGTCTCCAGCAATTTGCAGAAACACAGAATACTGACTTACCTTGGATAAGTCTTGAACTTCCAAGTGTCAAACTGAAATAGTGCCAAACGTGGAGCGTGTGATTAATTGGGATATGTCAAGGAACAATGCCTTCTGGAAGTCCCTTCCAAAATTCCATGTGGCTTTACTGATTTCTTGATGGAACAGGGCTATYTCCCATCCCATGCTGAAAATTTAATGCATAGGTCATTGTTATTGTGGGGACAGCTAATCTCGTACAGCTTCCAGGTTACGGGAATCCTTCTGTGGAACTGTTGTACCCACCATGTTTTTGTGCCGTTATCTAGAGACTCTTCTGGAGTTTTGACTTTGTTTTACACACTGTAAGAAGTGTGTGTAAGAGCATCCATTGCTTTTGTCTGTTCGAACGTCAAAGAAATTTCCATGGAATACAATTTTGAAATTATCTTGTATCTGTTGTATCTGSTTCTGCAAGTCCTAGGGCTTTGTTATTACTGCATATACTTCCCAGGTCATCAGCAGAAATGTGCTAATAGTAGCTGGGATTGATCTTGTTTTATGCCACTGTCTTACATGTCTTCTGCATGAGGGTTTTGTTATTTTTGAGCATCATTTGATGCTTGCATATGTTTGCTTCCTATATAATCTATGTTGTCTATTGTTCAGATTGGATGGGGGGCTCAGTATTGACATAGTTGTTTGTTCAGAATGGGAAATGGCATTTGCAAGTAAATGTTCCTAGCAGGGGAAGGAATGCTGTGATGTACAGTGCAGTGCTTCACCTCTAAGGGTGGAAAATACAATGAAGRAATCAGACATTTCATTTATAATTGCTATTGCTTCATTCCAGTTCTGGCCTCTTCGGGTATTGATTATGATATAAAAATCTGGTCCCCATTGGAAGAGTCCAGGATTTTTAACAGAAAACTTGCAGATGAGGTAAGAACCTTTCCTCCTTTTTCATAGTAACGTTGCCTTATCCAACCCTAGAAAAGCCCTTTATGAAAATTACATATCCTGAATAGGTGAGTTATTTAATGTTAATCAGAGGAGCTACAAATAAGAAGCTATCCTTTTGCTGCTAACTTTTGTATAATTGGCAGCACACATAGACCCTTTGTAAGACTTTTCTAGAAATAAATAATATGAAATCATGAATGTGAAAGAAGTTGGAGAAACAACGAGCAGTCAGAGGTAGATGGAAAATTGGCAGACATTAGAAAAGAGGACCATGGCCATCCTTAAAGAACTGAAGTATATACAGGGATATATGGAGGATCAGGGAGTGTAAAATTCAATGCTGTTAAATATTCTGTAGCATAATAGGGAGGTAAAGTTAAGATTACAGACTGGGAATCTCAGGGAAAGAAAGCAAGCACTGTGAGCCTAAGAAATTCTATCGGTTGCATTAACAAGAAAGTCCATGTGCAAAGTTATACAATGTTGTTTTCATATCCCCAAAATGGTGACTGTAGCAACTGTCTTAGGCTGATCAGATAGATAAAACTGCTGAAAAAATACATTTTTAGTGAATTAATTAACCCAATTAAAATAATAGATGTTTTGATGTTTACCTTTTTTTTTAATAAGGTAAATTTTTTTTTTTTTTTTTTTTAGAGTAATCTCTTGGATAGAAGAAAATAGTGCCCTGTTTTCTTTTTCGTTTGTGTTAGTGTAGTGTATATTTAAACCCGCCCATCCTTTAGTCTTCCCCAGAATCACGTCTGCTTATGAGTTTTGAATATATCCCATTATTTTAGCACAGGTAACAGTTCTTTATGTTTTGTATAACAGATACAATTTCTGAGGTGTCTGAGCACTTCTGGGTTTAGAAGTATTATTTAGAAATATTTAGAAAACAGAAATGTTTCCTAAAAGTAGTTGTTTTATTAATATTTTTATCACTTAAAATTCTTAATGTTATCAGAACAAAAATTTAGGGATTTAAATATTTTTTAGCTAATAAAAAGGAGCCGAAAAGTTGAAGAGGATATCAAAGGTTTATTATTGATGATACTCTGGAGAAATAAGAGCTAAAATAAAAAAGGGCAGATTCTTGTCTTTAACTGGTGCTTTTTTTTTTGGAAAGTTTTTGGTAAACAGATGATGAGAACAGAAAAGAGGCCCTATGATTTAGCTCAGAGCAGGCCACTGCTGGGACTTGTGTTAACTTTTTGTTCAGAAGAGGCACGGGCTTAGGGATAAGCACACTATTTCCCTGCCTTAAAGAGCTGACCTGGTCGAAAGGACTGAATAATGGTCAAAACTTGGCTCCACCTAGCAAAGGGAGGGAATGTAGTCTGAGCCAGAAAAACAAGGCAACAAGAATCACAGGGAGTTACCAGGAGGAAGGAAGGAGACAAAATTGCTAAAAGTTCTTGTTAGTGATTTTTTTTTCCCCTTTGAAAGTAAGGCAGGAGGAGCTGATTATTTCAAGTCATTTAGAGCCAAGCTGTAGATCTGTTTAGACAGAGTTACGGAGTTGAAGAGAGTTCCTGAATAAGGATAGAGCAATTGCTTACATTCCTTGGACTCCTTGGACTCCTTGGACTCCTCTCTCCAAAAAGGTTCAAGAACATGAAACTAGGAGTTCAGGCTAACCTCATCTTGTCCTTCCCACAGTCTTGGCCACTGCTGGTGCTAGAACTTCATTCTCTGCACCAGTTGTCATCTGTGATGGCCCTTCCCCTTGTCATGGCTCCTTATTTCCAATGTTCTTTCTCAGTTGCCCATCTTGATGCCTCTCATGCGCTTGGATGACGATGGCAAGAATGATGACCTTACTGGAAGACRACTTAGACAAAGAGTTGTCTTTGACAGAGTCTGTCTGCATATAGTAGCCATAATTACATATGTTAATAGTTAGTAAAATGTTTGTTTACTGTGCATTTTGCCTTGAAACACTGTATCTACAAAGCAGTATTGATATAGTACGATATTGAATTTGTAATTAATGCTTTTYCCCCCTGCCTTGTCTCCAGGTTATAACACGTAATGAGTTAATGCTGGAAGAGACCAGAAATACTATTACTGTTCCAGCTTCTTTTATGTTGAGAATGTTGGCGTCGTTGAATCATATCAGAGCAGGTGAGAAGCTTTGGAAAAACCTGGTCACCAGTTGATCTATAAAATATTAATGGAATTGTGGAATTCCACAGTAATTATAATTACCATGTTACCATAGTAATCATAATTATGATCTTCAGGTTTATTTGTCTGCCCTGTGGTTGGTGAAAAAGTTAAAGAATTTCTAGTGGTCTCTTGAATAAAAAAACTTAGGACTCACTTCCCTGGTGTAAAACCTGGAATATTTTTGCAGCTATTTCTACCTCAGAACAAGAGCAAGGAAAGAGCAAAATACACTTTTAGATGTTACCCATTCTGACATGGTTTTTAGTAATGTATTACTCCATGTTGGAAAATACTTCCATTAGTCAGAAATAGCCTTGGAGGGGAGCTGTGCAATGATACCCTGGGGCTGCTGGAGGGCTGTGTGATGGAAAAGCAATTGGGGCTGGCTGGAATGAACCAGAAGATAAACTCACTGTCATTGTGGGCTTGGAATTGTCTGGGGACAAAGAAAGGTAAGGAGATAAAGGACTGCACTAGGTGTCTTATTGAGATTGCTGGCAGCTGGCAATAGGGCTGCAGGTCGTGGGGTGACCCTGCAGTGAATGGGCTGTCTGGTGGGGACTGAGATCGGTGATAGGGGGAGGGACTGTATGGAGAAGAGTCATTGGGAGTTAATTTTCCTGGAATTTAGTGCTGAAGGACTTCARAGCAGAGGGCTGATACCGAAAATGAAAGCCGGTGGCGAGACACTGTAGCCGAGTGAGAATGGTTTGGGAGGCTGCTATGACACAGGTTGAAAACTGGTGGAACTGGAGCTGGGCCCTGGCTCAGCTGAGCAGAGAGAGCAGTGGGTACCGTTTGGGTTGACAGTGATGTAAAAGTAGCTTTGCCTCTCAGCAACTTCAGCTCCACTGATCTGTGAGGGGGAAGGAGACGGTGAAGGAGGAGGAAGCCTCCTGGTTTGTTTGGCCACTGCTGTAAATGTGTATTTTAGTTGTTGTTTCWTTTTTTTTTTTTATTTTTTTTGAGTAAAGAAACAACTGTCCAACAGTTTACTGCAACAGTTTTGACACGAATTCTGTGTTGCTGCTGAGTGGAGTTTATCTCAACCTGGCGGTGTGTGCTGTCTGAGCAGCATGCCTTGAACTAGTTGTGCTCCCTCATACATCGCTCTATCTGCCCTTTTCTAAACATTTACATGAAAAGGCAAATTTCCTGATATGTACAGTGACAGATACCAATTCCCCAATTTTATGGAGCTTACAAATTCCTAATCGCCACTATTCTAGTTCTAGCTCTGCAAAATGGTCTTTTCAGTCCCTTGTATTCACCATCTCTTTTCCATTTTGTGCTTGCATTTTTTTTTTCTGTGTTGTCAGCCAGTCAGTAGCTACACGTTTTCTCCTTTTGTGTATAAAGCCGATTCCTCTGCCTGAAAGTCCTTTAGGGCTTTTTTTTTGTCACTGCTCCTCTTTGTAAATTGTAACATTTCTACCAAATCTCTGTTGTCGTTCCATTTTCAGCTTGTCTTATRGGTTTATTGCTATATATTACCACAGGCACTGTGCATTGTATAATAGTAGCCCAGGGAGTTRCTACTTCATAAATATTTACTCCAAACATTATCTGTACTAAATCCTCTCTGTGTGTTACAGACCGGCTGGAAGGTGACAGATCAGAAGGATCTGGTCAGGAGAAYGAAAATGAGGACGAAGAGTAACTGGCAGTTTGTGCAAGCATCTAGACGTTACAAAATTTGTATAAGACATTAATTATATTTTTCCTTACAGAGCTTTAGTGCAATTCTAAGGTATTGCTTTTGGATAACCTAACATTTTTTTTTGGTTTTGAATGACTGTGCGCATGACTTTGGGAGAGTGTGCAAGTACCATAAGCAAAAATGTTTTTAAAACGTTTTGCCATGTATGAGGGGTGCTAGAAGATGCAAAGTGCAATATTTTCCTTAACYTGCAGATGTGGGAGCTTGGATCAATGTTTAAAAGTAACTTTCATTATAGTAAAAACGTTGGTTCAAATAAATTTCTATACCTGCTGTTGCATGTTTGTTGCTTTCTAATTAAAAGATTTGGTTGTTTTAAGTAGTTTCGTGTTTTATTTGTGCAACCATTAGCTTACCCCCTGTTACACTATCCCCATTACAGCATTGAAGTTTTCCTTACAAGGTTTGCCAAGTGACAACATATACAGTTGTTTCTGTTGTGAGCACTGGAATTCGCTGCTGAATGAGGCACCAGGCAGCTCCGTCCTTGCAGTTCCGTAGACATATCCATGCAGATATAGSCAAATCTGTCTTTCCATCAATCTTATAATGGTCTTGATTTGCACTCTCCCTCTTTGAGCTTGTAGTGCTGGTGAAAGAGTTCTGCCCCAGCAACAGATCCATGAGTATCCATTCTTTGCAGGCGTACTGGATATGCCTTAATTTACCTTGGATTTAAAATAGAGAGAATGCAGTGTAATTAGCTAAGGCACTACTTTCCTCCATATATTTTTGGATGGTAATGGAGAGAGAGGAAGTAAAAGACAGCAGGAAAAGGACAGTTGAGCCCAATGGCTTCTGTTCTCCCTGCCAAAGGTGGCAGCTGTTAAGAGGCTCCGCAAGGAAACAGAGAATCATGAGAAGAATTCCAGTTCAGAAGCAGGAGGGCACCAGTGTGAGATGCTTCATATCCAGATTCTTGGGGATCCTTGGTCGTTGTCATGATGCAGGTACTCTAAAAGGACTTGGAGAAGAGATGAAGTCACAGAAATAGAAGGTAAAGAACATTTGACGAGATGAGAGATTTGAGAGGGAGAAGAAATGATAATCCCATGGAACTAACTGATGGTAAAAGGGAAGTCATTCAGWCTGGGAATTAAAATGTGGTAGGGATGAAAAGAGAATGGGTAGGATTTTTTCTTTCTTTTTTATTTATTTATTTATTTTTTTTGTTACGAAGGAGTAAAATGCTTAAGAAGAAGATTAGGAATTTAGGAATTAGGCAGGAGGAGAAGGGAAATTACTGAAAAATTGTGAAGTACAGAAGCTTTGAAAGTGATCCAATGAAGAGGATTTTTCAAGGAAAAGGAAATGGTGGGGAACACAAGATTTTTGGAAGTTTCTCTTCACTGAGAAGACATGTCAGAACACTGGAGAAGCATGCAACATAGGAAGCCTCACACCCACACTCAAGGGGGCTGATACAACAGAAAGTGGAAATCTGAGAAATAYTTCAAGAACTGTAAAATTATTCTGAACAAGAAAAAACAAAAGAAGCCAAGGTAAGTGTTTTTTTAAAGGTATGGTTGATATTAGCCTTGAATATGAATATTTCTGTTATCTGTTGATGAATCATAGAATCCTTGAGGTTGGAAGAGACTTTTAGAGATCATCTAGTGCAACCCCCTGCTCCAGCAGGGACACCCAGAGCACGGGGCACAGGGTGGCATCCAGGCGGGTTTGGAAGATCTCCAGAGAAGGAGACTCCACAGCCTCCCTGGGCAGCCTGTGCCAGGGCTCTGTCACCCTCACTGGTAAGCAAATTTTCCTTAAGTTCCTGTGGAGCTTCTGATGCTTTAGTTTGTGGCAAATGAAGGCAGAAGAGTATGTGAGTGTCCATGGTGGTGCTGGGACAGAGAAAAGCATTAGGTTTTTCTTGAAATTTGTATTATGGAGAGATGTTATTAGTTCAGTGAGAAATGAAAGAATATTTTGTGATTTTTTTTCTAAGTTCTTTTTTGTAGTAYTGGAGAAACACGATGTAGAACTGGTCAAATCACAGAACTCTGCAATATTTTTCCTATGAAATGTAAATTAGCTTAGAATTTTTGTAACAGAAGAAAAAACACCTTTGACTAGATTTAAAGAACTGTACAGTAAATATAAAAAAGTGTACCTAGGRTATATCTATAAGTACGGTTCTTTACTCTTTAGTTGTTAGTGGCAGGAGAAATTGTGCCGCATTTCTTTTACGTTGGTATCTACTACAGTAGTGGAACTATTTCATGTCTAGAGATCGTGAGCAGTTTTCTGAAAGAAATCCATTAAAATGATAATGTAATTGTTGGGACTTTGGTAGATGACCCTGTGTAAGTGATGTAAACTGTAGGGTTCTATTTGTTGGCCAGTGTTTCTGCATAAGCCTAGGATTCTTTTTAGAAATTAATAACCTTTGTCTCTTGAAGCAACTAATGCAAAAGTAGCAAAGAGTAGATCCTAGCCTTTAAATAGGAAGATTGAAGAGCAATAACCCTGCTTTGTTGGGTTTGTTTTCCTTTRCTTTCTCCTTTTCTTTACTACAGATTAAGACTTTTGAATGTTTTTCTTTTTTTCTTTGTTTTTTTTCCAGGTATTTCCTCACAGAGAATTTCTTCTGACTCTTCTTTATCTCCTGTTTTTGCCTCCTGTCTCCTGTAGAAAATGTATTTTTAAAAACTATAGACTAACTAGTTGTATATCAAGAGTAAACATATAAGAGACATATAAATATGCRTAATTCTACTTTTTCTTTCTTAAGCATATAGAGAAAATAGCCCTTGTCTTTATTAGACAGGTCAGACAGTCCCAGTTCCTAGAACAATGAAGTAACATGGAACTGTTGGTGGGAATGGGAGGGATGCTGGTAAATTTGTGAACTCTGTAAGAGCAAAGAAAAAAAGATTTTACTCAAATGTACACAGAAGTGTAAAAAACAAATTCCCTATTTTATGAACAAGTCTTATGATTAGGATCTGATTTGGAATTGGGGAATTTGACATTAGTGATGTAGTAAGAGCTCCCTCTAGTGCTGATATCATGTGGTATTTGTATAACAAATCTGATGTCTGCAAAGTTAATTTGCTCTTCATAAGCATGGTTTCCATATTTTGTGAAAGAAGCAGCATTCTGGAAGTAAAAGCATCCATCTTTTGGGTAAAGATGAAAACCTGTGGATGTGTGCAGTATAATAAAATGAGCACCACCACAGTGATACATCATTCACACATTTAAGACCATCATTCTTTCAGCTGAGCCAATGAGGGGAAAAGGTCACCAAGCAGCATGTACATCTTTTGTTTCTAATTACAGTATTAGCATAGACTTTAGTTTTTAATTACAGTATTAGCAACCCAAAATTAATGGGATGGTGATGGAAAATATGGTGGAACTAAAGCTAGAGATAGGGAATACCTTGCTTGGGGTGACAGGCTGGCTGGATGAGGGGAGAGCAGTGGATGTTGTCTACCTTGACTTCAGCAAGGCTTTTGACACTGTCTCCCATAA